GGGAAGGAACGAGGCGGACGGGCGACGCGCGAGAGCCGAACGAGCCGGAGCTCAGGCGTCGAGCAGGCATGGACATGATGCTCCTGGTGCAGGGCGCTTGTTGCTCCAACCAGTGGCTGGCCGCGGTGCTGCTGAGCCTGTGCTGCTTGTTGCCTTCCTGCCTGCCGGCCGGGCAAACTGTGGACTTCCCCGGGACAGCTGTGGACAACCTGGTGGTCAGGAAAGGGGACACGGCGGTGCTGAGGTAAGGCTCGCCTCAGCCTCCCTGGCCGGGGAAACCGAGGGGGCGGGGGGGGGGGTGTGTGTGTGTGTGTTTGGGGGGGGGGGGGGGAGAGAGAGAGAAGGAAGAAGCGAGCGGGAAGCGTGGCGTTGCGCTCCTGTGCGCGCGCTCCTGTGTGTGTGCCTCTGCGTGCGTATTGAACTTGTGTTGTTTTGAATCCGCACATGCAGTCGGTTCGGCGGCTTCCCGGAGAGATCCTTCTCCCCCCCCTTTTTTTTGATGGAGGGGGAGGGGGAAGATCGGACGCATTCCTCTCCTGGTCTTCAACGAAATGGGCCAAGCCACTTGGCGCGGAGTCCTTGGCCGAGGAGAGGAAGAGGAGGATCCATCCCTCTTTGAAATTGCGCGTGTTGTCCCCATTCAGAAGGGGCAGTCTCTTCTTCCCCCTGCTCCTCCTCTCCCAGCACCGGCGTCCGTGTCCCTCCACCACTAGATCTCACTTACTGGTCTGTCTCTGCCTGTCCAGTCGGACTGAATGATGCCTCTCCCCCTCCCCAGTTCTTCCTTCCCTTTTCAAGCCCCCCCCCCTCGGTGGGGTACTTGAAGCTGAACTTTGGAGCCATCGCCTCCTTTTTTTGCTATGTCCTGGGTTCCTGCGTGTGGATCTCTGGCTTTGCAACAAGGTCTCCCCTTGGAAGTAGTTTGTGCAGCTTCTTCCTCAGGCATGTTCCTTCACACTCCTTGTTAAGCCTCTGAAAGCTGTAATGGCTCATCCGAGAGCTAGCAGGCGAATCCACTCGCTTCCCTCTCCCCCCTCCTGGCTTTGCGAGACGAGCGGCTGCAGTGCAGACTGACCAGTGAGGTTTTGTGAAATATTTCATCTCTGGGGGAAAATGTTAAGTTGGTGCCGTGATCTGAGTGATGCTAAAGACCCCATTCTTCAAAGCTGCCTCCCCCCCCTCCTCCGGTGTCAGTCCCATCCAGATGCTTGCTGCATAAACACTGACAGTGCAGTTCTATGCATCTGGCTCTTATGGAATAGGGAACATATGTATCTCCAGAGGTTTGATTCAGAGATCCATGGCACAATACACGAACTAACCAGTTAATCTGGAAGAGGTGTTCGCTTACATTATGTTTGTTTTGGCAAGCATCGATCTATGCTATGGAATAAAGGGACACTCGTCTTAGATCTTATTATGTGAAGATGTTTTCAAGAACACAGATTGGTACTTGTTTTCTACATGCAGAGCCCAATGTCCAATTAGTGATGTTTTGAAAGCATGCAAAAAGCCCCCCCCTCAAAAAAAACCAAACAAAAAACCAGAGCTTATGAGAGAGGAATAATTTTTTTAAACGCCCTGGTTTTACCCAAACTGTGGCCAAATGAAAAATATCCTAGTTTGTCTTTGCAATGCTAAGTTTGTTCCTAGAAGTTGGAATGGAAATCACTGATGCTTGACTTAATTTCTGCTGGCTCCTGTGTGTGATGTTTGTAACCAGATCTGCAATGCCACCTTCCTTTGCTGGTATATAGCAGTGCTCAGCATTAACTCTTCGCTGAGGATACAAATGCGTACATGCATGTGTCTTAACAAACCATTGGTGTTTCCCTTATGATTTTGTATAGAGGGGAGGTGGGATTACCGTGTGATATGGACTATGTCAATTACCTGGGGTTTAAAAATATCTCTTTGCCTGTGAATGATTATATGTACACAGTGGTTCAGTGTTGCTTCCCATTTCTCCATGTTTGCATTTCACAGGGTAGAAATCCATTTGGCTAGCAGAAACATTGTTTACCAGTATCAGTCCATTACGTGTGTGCTTCCCCCCACCCCATTTGCCTCAGGTTTGTTAAGTGTGCTTTAACTTGTATGCCAGGCTCCCTCACCCTCACGTTAGCATATCTTGTGCATTGTCAAGACAATACCTTAGGAAGAAAATTAAGAAGACTTTCTTACCACTTCAAATAAGTACAGAATTGCTAGATTTTGCTTCATCTCTGCAGCAGTATTGACCGTAAAGAGTCCTGCTTATCATAAGACAACCAGGTTCATAAACCAACACAATCAGAAGCAATGCTTCTCAACTTCCATTGCAAATTCCAAAAGGTAAACATTTTTTTAAAATACAGCAGAAGACATTCCTTCATTGATTTAAATCCTGGCATTGTCAAAACCAACCCTATTTATTTTCACAACAGTTTTCATGTGGTAGATGCTGAGAACACATTCAGTGCCTATACACTGCTGCTTGACGTATTTTTCATCTGTAGTAATATGCTGTAGTTACACTCCATGGCTTTAGAATATATTGGAATTTACTCTTGTTGGTTTCCTTATGCTTCAGGCAGAAAGTAAATGTAACCCTTGACTCTTTCTGTGTTTACATTGCTTCCAAAGTAAAGAAAGTGATAGATCAGAATTGATGAGCAGCATTTTCCCATTAAGTTAGACCTGAGACGAATGCTAGTTCTCAGTGAGAATTCTAAAAATAATCTTTATATCCTTCCCTTTCCACCCCAAAACTCTGTTATTTAACACTCAACAACTGAGGTATGTTTTTTTCAGTAATAAGAATTAGACTTTGATAAGTAGAAAAAATATTTTTCTTAGGCTTAGGTATGAAGCAAAATGCATTACATAAATGCAATTGAAGCTTTAGGCTCAAACTCTGGCTGAAATCCTGTTGCTTAGTGTACTAAGTTGCAACTAGAGTAGGCTCATTGAATCAGTAGGAATCTGGTAAATCTTCTACTTTGCAAGTTGATTCAATGGCTCTCTTCTAGCTGAGAGTTACTACACTAAGCTACAGGATTACAGCCAATGATTTTTATCTCATAAGTGGGAAAGCTTTTTACAGGAAAAAAAATACCACTGAATATAGAATATACTACATAATTACAACAAAGACAGATGCATTTCTGAAGTCCAGTGTGGAGGAAGAACAAAGGCAATATTGAAATTGTTAGATATCCAGCATTTCTTAAGTAAACATTTTTTAGTTTTCAGTACTTGCATTCCCTTTTGTGTTTGTTATGAGAACAAAGTCTGCTTTATGAAGGCCAACTAGCAATGAATAAGAACATAGAGGAGAAACTTAACCATCAGGTGCAGACATTCCAGTGGTTCTATAAAAATATGTCCCAAAAGACAACGAATATCTTAAATAATAAAGCATAACACCTAAAGCACATTGGATTGATGACAGTTTACAAGAAACTGCTTTTTAAGTGTCATATTAGAAGAAGCATCTTTGTGCAACCCAAAGAGGGAATGCAGAACATATATTGCAGTGGATCTGTTAAAAGTCTTTCTCTAGAGGGAGCAAAGTATATTTAAAATGTTTTGAATTAATTCATACTGCACTAAGCATATATATGTAAAGATACATCATGTGTTTTTTAAGTGCTGTGTTTCTTTAAATACAGAACACTGATCTTGTACAATATTTTTTTTTATTATATATGCTTTTATAGGTTGTATGCATATATGTTGATGTTTTGTATAGGGTCAAGCTGTGATTATTATATGTGTTCACATTGTTTACTGGGCATGGCATGGCATGCCTAAAAGGACTACATACTTTATATGTAGTATATATAAAACCAGACAACCTATAATTAAAAGTTTTACATTATACAGTATCGCTGCTGGTGACAGTTATTTAAGGTCTTATTTAGAAGCATAAGGATCTGTGAGTCATTCTTTTGAAATTTTGAGTCAGCAATTTAATCAAAGGAAGATTATGTTACTAGATATGATATAGGTGTGCTATGATTGTTCAAGAGCTAACCCTTGGAAAATGTGACCTAGGCCTTTTGGCTGGTATCATATGTGGACATGTCTGCATCTGGTAATAATCATGGTAGTAGAACTTTATTATGATATATGCAAGTCAGCTGAAGGTCTCGTTATGTGACTCTAGGAGCAGATTCTGTTTAACTGGTTCTGTTAAAATCCCACACTGCTAGCGAAGTCTAGTGCCAAACACTGTACAACCATGATCAGTCCTCACTGTTGGGGTGAAATGTTACGAAATCCTACTCACATTTCTCTATATTCTGAGGGAATAGCTTCAGCCCAGCTCTGATTTGGTCCTCATTATATTGAAGCTATGATCCTGTCCTGTGCATCCTTAAGTGGCAGTTAAAACTCACTCAGCATAATCACACTTCAATGTAAACATTTTAGAATATCTCTGCAGAAACAATATACTAACTCTTGTGTTAGTATTTACAAGGTACCTTCTAGCTCTGTACAAATTGTAAACATCTTACACTTGAAAATTTAGTCAGCAGTAGCTCTGCAGATCCAAATGAGAATCTGCAGAGTAAACCACTTGTCTGTATCCCTTACCATTTTATATACAGTGGGGTCTTGACTTGAGAACTTAATCCGTATTGGAAGGTGGTTCTCAAGTCAAAAAGTTCTCAGGTCAAATCTGCATTTCCCATAGGAATGCATTGAAAACCATTTGATCCGTATCTGCTCTTTTCCATCCATAGAAACTAATGGGAAGCTGCTATTCTGCCTTCGACCACTAGAGGGGATATTTTGTTTCTTTTTTTCTTAGGTCAAGAAAGGTTCAGGGAAGGCAGGGAAAATACAGTCCAGGCCAGTGGTGTCGAACTGTGGCCCTCCAGATGTTCTTG